CTTTTTTCTTTGTAATTCTCGGCAAATCAATTGGAAAGGAAGTGACCGAAGGACCAAAAATACAAGAGATCCATGTCAAATCTTACGTATCTGAGTAGACAGGATGTGCAATATCCTATTATTATCGATACTTATCAAAGTATCTCCAGGAACCGACAGATTACACATACGCTATATGTCCCTTCTCACATACACCCATAATTAAAGCAATTGTTTCAATAATATTTATTTTTAACTGAAATTTAAGATTAAAAAATATAACAAATAAACTATGTTAAAAAATAAAGTACAAACGTAAGCCTAATTAACAGAGTAAGCATGATCTTTTATTTCATTGATTATAAAAAAAAAAAAAAAAAAAAAATAAAATAACACAAACTATTGTAACGATGAAAGGTATTAACTTTTTATTTGCCGAAAGTGGAATGTTACGATTATATATTAACGACGCAATTAAAAATTAATTTTTAAATTATTGTTTCTAAACGATATCTTCCCATATACAGGTGAATGTAACAGTTCTATATTATTATTATACAAAATATTAGAATTACTTAAATTTTGTTTCCCCAACTAGTAGCCTACAATTGGAATATGTTTTTATCCTTTATTAAATACTTAAATGAATTTTAAAGTGATCATTGATAATATGAAAAAGCTTACAATTACTGTTAAAAATATTTTAAAGTATTTAATATAAATTAATTCGGAAAATAGATTCGTTACTTTGATTCTATCTTATTTTTATCTTCCTAATTCATCTTGTTTTAATCTTCCTAAATTAACTTCCTCTACGGTTATTGATGTTTTGTTACGTCCAATTCTCTATTTACGACGAAGATTTATCATTCGATTGGCTAAAGCAAAAGTTCTATGAATTTACAAACAAAATATTAATAATAAATCAAAATCTTGACAGTTCAATGATAAATACTCATATTACCATCAACCAACTTTTTATTATATAAAATAAAACAAATATATTTAATTCTATTTTTACCATAAACGTCTATTTACCTGATTAGCTTTTTACTTTCAATTTGAATTGAAAATATTACTTAAACGACATCCTTGGACCATAGAGATTATTATTACACCTTACGAGTGTAATTATGAGTATTTCTTACTATTTATATTATGCAAATTTACAAGAGTTTTTAAATTACTCACGTTGTACATGAATTGATTTTTATTCTTATTCGTAATATTGTAAATTTAATTAGCAAACGTTAATTAGTGAATTTTTATTTCATACTAACAATAATAATTAATAAAAACATTATGAAAAAATAATAATGACAATAAGACGTATAAGAATATAAGCAAAGTTTTCAATTTATTTATAATTATGCGTAATGCTTTTATGTATTTTACGCTTCTTTAGTCTACATAATGAAATAAAATACTTTAAAATTTAAACTAATTCAATTCACGAAAAAAAAAAAGCCCTTATAGGACAAAACAAACAAATTAAATTTAACAAATTATCGTGAAAACTTAAAACCAATGTAATTCTATTCGTAAATAATGAGCTAAGGAATTAAAAATTATTACGCAATTGACTTCATTCGTATTGTTTTATTGTGTTATTGTTGTCGGTATTTATCAATGCTTATTATTATAATCGAATGTTACTCTAGCAACGTTTGACTTTTATTGGAACATTACCAAGGTACGTAGAGTATTTTTTTCAAATTTTATATCCATTAATAAAGATAATGTATATGCAATAATTTTCCTAATTATCCTCAAACCTGAACAGACGAGCATTGAAATAAATTTCAAAAATTGCAGACAAATAAGCACAGTCTGAATCCAATTGCATTTACTTGAATATTGTTTGAGCGTAAAGCTTCTTAAAATATATGCAAAGCATCATTCTGATATTGCTTACATGCGAGACGACCTTTCCATTGTTACAAAACTTCTTTTGTAAGAAGTGGACTTTAATTTTATAAAAATATCTCTTCAATTGCAAGATATAAGATCATGTTTTTAGAATTTTTCACAGAAGTAGAAATTCAAAATCTCGTTCATTTAACGTAAAATTAGTATTTATCGCGCAAAATAATGAATCCTATTTATAGAATCTTTCTTTATCTCTTAACATTTGGATACTGAAAGATACATCAAAATTGCTTTTATTTAATCACTAAAAAATAATATAAGATAACGATAAGCCATTGTCATTATATGAATATGGGAAGCTTATTGTTGTTGTTTGTTGTTGTTCCTGCTGCTGTTCATATTATTTTTATTATTATTGTGATTATTATTATTGTTATTATTATTATTGTTGTTATTGTTATTTTTGTACAGACGAGGGAAATACGTTTTAATCTTGACATTTGCAATTTTACGAGAAATGCTTAAAAGCTCAAGTATGATAAAGATTTTTATTCAATTTAACGACCCTTTCAGAAAATTTTCATTAATAATATCAGAATAAAAAATATCTAAGAATTGATCGTGAGTGGAACAAATGTATTAATATCTATATTTAAAAGAAGAAAAAAAAGAAGAAAAGAAAGAAAGAAAGAAAAACATAAATAATTAAAAAGTAACAATAGTAAGGAGACTGAGCACCCTAGTACATGTTCCAAGTGGAACAATAATGTCGACTGGCGAAATGGAGACTCGAGCGAACACTGTTTCGTCGTAATCGGATGATCGCTGTCCTCTACTTTGTTCGACAGAGACGAAGCAATAAACGAGCATTAAAGAGATAAGAGAGAATTCATGTCCACTCTTTGTTCTCATATTTTAAAGTGACATTGTCAAACAAAACATCTCGGCGATTCCTTCAATCGACCATTACGTTCCATACAACTATAATCTGGATGTTTATCGCGCATTCCCAAAAGCGCTAAGAGTTCTTGATAAGTCCTTAAAGAAATATAATAACGCATTTCGATCGAATGAATTATTGGAAACTTCGGTAGACAGTTAGGATCGATAATAGTTTACACTTGTAATTCAACATATCGTACTAATTCGACTATTGATTGCATAAAGATTTGTTTTGTCTTTTCTTTTTCTTTTATTTATTTTTACAGAATTATGAATCGAAAACTCCAAATACAATACTAATAATGATATTGTACTATTAAGTTTTAAGTCGAAGAAAGGAATTAATTTAATTGTACGAATTTGAGGAATAATGTAGGCCGTTGCTATCGAAAGCTTTTAACGGAGAAAGTATCGCGGGCACTTTGATGGGTTCGTTCGTTTATCTACAACGACTTGGTTGATATTTTGGTTGTTGCGTCGGTTGAGCAAGGATGCGCATATATAACCATCCTCATCGACGAGTATAGAAAATTGCGTTTGCGTGTAATATTAAGCAAGGAAAGTAAGTCGTCGTATATACTCGCTAAGGTAATTTGCTCGTTACTCTTAAGATCGCATTCTCGCGGCGCTTAATGCCTTATTAGCCGGGAAGATCGGTAGAGTTCATTCTCTCTCTCTCTCTCTCTTCGGCAATATTAACAATAATTCGAAACTCGAGCCGTTGAATAGTACGCTCGATCATAAAAACTCATAGGCGCGGCCTAACGGATCCCCTTGCCCACCCCGTCCTGGCGCTCGCAACCCTGACGCCGTTGCCCCTCTCTAATCGCCTCAGCCCCCAGGTCCCGAGCCAGCACAAAAAAAAAAAACGTACGTGAACAAGTCGAAGCGCGAGGCTGATCCATTGACCCAGTGCTAGAATATTTTGGCAGCTGCCAGGGATGGCGCCCTCTCGTAAGCCAACTTCCCCGTAGCGACAACAAAGCCGGGCGCCATTCCACGACAGCAGCCGTATCGACGCGACGGCTTTCTTTCTCCTAACGCTTCTCCTCCTCCGCCGCGACGTTCTCGCTCGTGGGGAACGCACTCGGCTCGAGAATCATTCCGCCTGCTCATGCTAATAAGAGAGTAAGAGAGAGAGAGAGAGAGAGAGAGAGAGAGAGAGAGGGCGACTAAGGGCGCGCGAGAGGGGGCAAGTCGATTGCGCGCAGGAGCCGAATTCTAGGAGAAGGGAGGGCCAGGAACGCGCGGCTACGGCGGCTACGGCGGCGGCGGTGGTGGCGGCGTTAACAGCAGCAGCAACAGCAGCAGCAGCAGCAGCAGCAGCAGCAGCAGCTGCGGCGGTGGCGGCGTCGTCATCGTCGTCGTCGTCGTCGTCGTCGAGCGGCAACGAATCAATATCGCGGTGGCTGCGCGCGCGCTAGGTCCTGGTGGTCTAGACTAGCCAAGTTGCCGTCACGAGGACGCGCCGAGGCCCGGTAAAGAGTGCGACGCGGGGATGAACCGTGGATTGTGAGCCGAGCAGGCGAGCACACGTAGACGTCAGCTGCAACATGGCCAAGGTGAGAGGGAATTTTCATAAAAACGGCCTTCGCTTACGAGGAGGCTCGATCGTTTGGGAGACTGCCGCTGTTGGCGCAAGGCCCGTTCCTGTACCCGCCATCCCACTCCCTCTCTCCATGCGCGAGCCCCATACTCCGGGCGATACTTATGGGCTTAGGATGCCTTAAGTATCCCCTTGTCGCCTCGTTGACGCCACGTCTCGGTGACGCGTAAACATTAGCTAGGACCTTAGAGAGACGGGGGCGTCGTAGGTTCCTGATCTTTTCGAATGAAACAAGTGCGATTGAGAAGCGGTGGATGGTGGTGGTGGATTTTGTTGTACAATCTCTTCTGGATTTGCGCAGCGGATTCGCGATGGTTCGCGTTCACTTGGAGATGGCAGTCCTTGTCGGTGTAGTCACTCTGACTTCGATCCACATCGAGTTAATCGCGGCATTTGTAGGCATCCGAGCCCTTTCTTTCCAATTTTCGTTACTGCTACGTAGTAAATTCATTTCACGTTCGGCCTTGCCGTCACATCCCGTCACCGCTTTATTAACTCGTCCTTTTTCGACACAAATACACGCAAAGACAGTTAATACGAACTAAATGTCAACTACAATTAGCTATTAACTCTGCTGTTTGTATAATTTTAGGGTAATTTAAGTCTCCTACGTATGGTTAAATCGATATTTCAGTAGATAATTTATCTGCCTTTTTAATCGATGATATTAGAGATTAAATTACCCAGATTAGATAATTGTTTGCCTGACAAAATACCTGGAAAGATAATGTTATGAAAACAAAATTAATAAATAAGATAAACAAATAAATAAAGATAAAAAAAAATAGTTGTAAGAAGAATGATTGTTATCATTTTGGAATGAACAAATGGAAATGTCAAAATTTTGGAACAAGTTTATGTTGTTTAACCTCATGAATTAGAAAACAAGTACAGCTATACGCTACAGTTGTATTTTTTTTTTTTTTTTTTTTTTTTTTTTTTTTTTTTTGACACATTAATGTGTTTTTATCACCTGTGTAATTAAATTAATAATAATATGAAAATTATAAAATTAAATTTTGTGTATAACATAATGCCACTCTTTTTCTTAATCCTGTTTTAAGAGATAAAAATTTATTGTAATGACAGCATGGAATTAGTTTTATAAAGGTCACGAAGTGCATAATGCCATTTGATATAAACCTTATTATTAAAAATATTATTGAATAAGAAGAAGATGAAGGAGAAGAAGATGAAGATGAAGATGAAGATGAAGATGAAGATGAAGATGAAGATGAAGATGAAGATGAAGATGAAGATGAAGATGAAGATGAAGATGAAGATGAAGATGAAGATGAAGATGAAGATGAAGATGAAGATGAAGATGAAGATGAAGATGAAGATGAAGATGAAGATGAAGATGAAGATGAAGATGAAGATGAAGATGAAGATGAAGATGAAGATGAAGATGAAGATGAAGATGAAGATGAAGATGAAGATGAAGATGAAGATGAAGATGAAGATGAAGATGAAGATGAAGATGAAGATGAAGATGAAGATGAAGATGAAGATGAAGATGAAGATGAAGATGAAGATGAAGATGAAGATGAAGATGAAGATGAAGATGAAGATGAAGATGAAGATGAAGATGAAGATGAAGATGAAGATGAAGATGAAGATGAAGATGAAGATGAAGATGAAGATGAAGATGAAGATGAAGATGAAGATGAAGATGAAGATGAAGATGAAGATGAAGATGAAGATGAAGATGAAGATGAAGATGAAGATGAAGATGAAGATGAAGATGAAGATGAAGATGAAGATGAAGATGAAGATGAAGATGAAGATGAAGATGAAGATGAAGATGAAGATGAAGATGAAGATGAAGATGAAGATGAAGATGAAGATGAAGATGAAGATGAAGATGAAGATGAAGATGAAGATGAAGATGAAGATGAAGATGAAGATGAAGATGAAGATGAAGATGAAGATGAAGATGAAGATGAAGATGAAGATGAAGATGAAGATGAAGATGAAGATGAAGAAGAAGAAGAAGAAGAAGAAGAAGAAGAAGAAAAAGGAGAAGATAAATCCATTTAATAACTGACAGTATTCGATTAAATACGTATTTCCATATTCACTTCCCATTCTATTGAATATTGATATAAACCAAGGATAAGAGAGAAGATTTTATGCATCGTATATACTCGTACTTCCTCCTCCCTTAGGCGTTTTAATCTCTAGTAAAATACTAATAATATATGCACAAACTGTACTATTAGCACTATACTCATCGTGTCTGAAAATAGAAATTTCCCAAGCAATTATAAAATTAGAAAGGATAATGATAAGTTTCGTTAAAGCAATTGAAAAGCCGTGTAATATGGTAAAAACCAATTATTAAAGTGCAAATTAACAATAACTGACGTTTTGTATATAATATACAGGAATCAAACTTCATTACATTTCCCATTCAATATGAATTATTTTTCTAAATATTTTCACAAATAGAACTCTACTTTTGTGCTCGCGTATAACTTAGGTATAAACAAAAAAATTGTTGCAATTATTACATGGCAATATTTTCAAATTGATATTTTGATTTTAGCTACGATTAAATATATAATACATCTCTGCCCACGCTTTCTTCGATAATTTCCTCGACCTTGAACCTGACATATTATATTTACTTCTCGTATAATTTAATCGCATCTACCGTGTATTCTTTTAAATGTGATACTTTAAAAGAAACTCTAATTTTATTACATTCTGCAATATTTCGTAAATTTCATAACTGTCAAATTTAGTAAGAGAGGTATATCATTTTGCGAACATTGAACTTTTTTTACAAATACATCAAATGTGATAAGAGAAAATCATTAAATTAAATATTTCATACGTTTTATACCAAGTCAAATAATATTTCTTCTACATTAATAACTGTAAATAATGAAAATAGCTTAAAATAATATAAATAGAAGTGGTTTATTTTCAGTCTGTTTACATTTAGCAGATATCATGAAATTGATATTTCAAATGTAATTTTAGTATAAAGAAGGGGTTTTGTAATAATTAACAATAATAATATACGTTACAATGCCATGTCATTATAGATAAATAATATCATTTAAACATATTTAAATTCGCATATGAATGTTAATTATTATAATACATTGTATGTGTAATTTAATATTAATTTAAGAATTTCTTATTTATACGCGAGAAAAATTTTAAATTCTAAAATTCAATAATGTAATACTTAATTCTATGTTAATAAGAAAAATATTACTTCTCTACTATTTCAAGAATGTACATTTCTATTGCTCAATTTATAAATATCATTTTCTAAAATTAATAGAAAGTATATTATTTTCAAAATTTCTTTTACTACAAATTTAAAAATTATTCATGAAATGCCATTACATTTCAATATAAAGAATATATAAATTTTTATTCGTATTAAAAATAACTTATATAATTCATATTAACTTTAAGCTCGCTCAATTGGCTTAAAATATTAAATTACAAAATTGCTTAGCAAATACTTTCGATAAATATTTATTAAGTCACTGCAATCCGTATGATACTGCTTTTTTTTTTTGTTTTTTAATTTAGTTTGAAATAATGTAAATAGGATATAGAACATTTTCATGTATTATTTAATGATAAAGTATAATTTTTACATTAAATCATTAAAATTCTGTAATCGTTACAAAGTTTTTATTTTTTTTTTTTTATTTCTTTTTTAACAAGAATTTTCTTCTGAATTAAACAGTGTCTTAAAAATAATTAAATGAATAATTGATTTCGAACTATAAAAAAAAACTTCTTAATGTGTTTATTTTTATTTTTAGTTATTTTAGTTATTTGTAGTTATTTTTAGAATGCGTAAACGCATACATACGCCTATTCTTCAAAAATTGTCATGATTTTAATTTATATGTGTGAAATCGCTATGAATATTTTCTTAAAAATCTATTTCAGATAAATGTTTTAATTGGGTATTTTCGAAACAACAATTTAATGAATCCATTGACTTGAATCCAATGATTGAAAATGAAATATTGTATTGTATTTCAAGCATCATAATGGTATGATGACCTTGAAAAGTAAGAAATTGACATTGAAACGAGATAAAGACAAACTTCATTCACCAATGCCAAAAATCCATTTAAAACATTTTACTCAAACATCATTATTAAATAATATTTATAGTTTCCTATTCGGTGCAAAGTTAATGTATTTGAAAATTTTAACTCTTTTTTTTATTAATATATTTATAGAAATATCGAAGCTTAATCTTATCTTATTGATGTTACATATTTCGCCTGCACCAATTTTATTGCGATTTTTCTTGTCTCTAGAATCTACATGTATTTTTTATTTTATTTTAATACTTCCAAAGTACTGTGAAATTTATTGTTTATTGTACGATAAACATATCCTGCAAACTAAAGTAACAAGTATTTTCTTAAATATCTTATTGTATACAATGACTATAATAAACAAACTGCTTAACAATAAGTATATATAACTAATAGATATGAAAAATATCGTACAAAGTAAAGATGATGAAACTCAAATCGCTTCACAATTGAAAACATTTTATTTAATTTTAAACAACATGTAAAATGGATTAATGTAGAACAGATATATTAACATTTATCGTATGATCATTAATCATGTGATATCACTGACTTTCATAGAGATGTTCATCTTAAAAAACATAATAAATTGAAACGGAATTAGAACAGCCATAATTGTTGTATTATTATAGTTGTTTTTCCTTTAATTAGTAAAATGCTGATCTGACAAAATTGAAAATTCATATCGTCCAATTAAAGTACGTTTAATGTTTTTAAAAGATTTCATATACATATATTTATTTATATATGCCGTAGACGTGCCTTTATTTTTATCTATAATAATTTTCTTGATCGTGTAGAAACTTTCATTGGATTCATTAAGAATTTATTGTTACTCGTTAAACAACTCGACCATACAGATTTATAAACT